GCCACAGAGGGATGTAAGGATGTTGAGCCCTGCTATTCCACACTGATCCAGTGTGAGTTTATCAGGGAGGAAAAATCCAGAGGTTCTTTTCTTAAGCCAAACAATACATACACTGCAGAGAATTCTGAAATCCACGGTGCAGATCCATGCACATAACCTGCCGTGCAGGTAGTGACGCCAGCGTGTGAACCCATAGAGACTAGCCTGAGTCATAAGTAATTTCAAACTGAGCTGCTGAAGGCTTCAACTTTTTTAGAAATAATGTGCATCAGAACACAGAAAGTAATTTCAGCTTTCAGCCAAATTGTTTGCTAAACCATAGTGTGAAAAACAAATGTGTCCAATGAAATCAGCAGCAACTGTGCATTCTTTGAGCCTTATTTACTGGGGGGAATTGAAGCCTAGCCTGAGATGTGCATGAGTTGTACATGCCACTTTGAACGCTTCCTGTAAATAATAATTCATAAATCAGGATTAAAGGAGTGTGTTGTGTACTGGTCTTTTCTTTGGGGGGGATTTAATCCTGGTTTGCATGTTCATACTTCAAATCTTAATTAATTTAGCCTTAATTTATGTTAAGAAGCATACAAAGAAGTGAACAGAAATAATCTAAATAGGGACTTGCACGATGAACTCCTGTAAAATAAGACAGGAAGAGGCATTACTTACTCTGTTGCAGACTTGGAAGTAAAATCATGTAATTTTCATTCTATGACAGTAGTGAGTCAACAACAATGGGTACATCACACTTAACCTGGTGCTGTTTTTCTTCAGCACACTTGATAGCATGGAGGATTCATTTTGAAAAGCAAGGGCTGAGGATTTCTGCATTTCTCCTTTCATCAGCTGCATTACCCATATAGGCCACAGTTGGGGACAATCTGTCATGCTCTCCATTGTATCTCCTACAATACCACTTTCCAGAGCAGTCTCAGTCCTGGTTGGAAGTATCTTTTGTTTTTAATTGAAATGTCACTTTTGAAATGATAGTGAAATAAACTCCTGCCCTCTAGAAGTTTCTGTACTGAATGCAGCATTAGGAGATTATTTTGTACCTTTTCAGAGCCACATCCTTACAAATGGGTACCTGAGGGTGTCTCAATATGAGCACTGAGATCATTATCTATAATGAAATCCCTCTTCACACTGAACAGCAGCAGGTTTTCTCTTGAAGGTGTTAATGCTTATTAATGTTACAGCAAAGTTTGATGCTGCATCCATGTGAAAACATAATTATATAAAAAAATAATTCCATGGTTTTGGACTAGAATTTTGCTAAACTCCAGTCTGAACTGATTCATTCTGCTAAACAGAAGAATTTCAGCAATACAATTTTAGAGCTAAAATAATGCTTTTTAATAAAAGGATAAAGGAGAGCTGCAGTAGCTCATGGCTGTGATGGATTCATAATATCTGGGGGTGAGTACAGAGTGGATTATTTCAAATTGTCAGTTAATGGAGTGCTAAGTTTTCTAGTCTATGCTTTTCCATCCCATCCCATTTACTGGGACATTCAGGCTGCACAGCTGTTTTTGTATCTCTTGATGTCTTTTCTTCCATTACCTTGAATGTGGGAAAAGTTACAAAAAGGAACAAAATCACAGTTCTTCCATCAAACCAACATATTTTGAGGTACTGTACATCTTTAGAGTCGAGGGAAAGTATCTTATCACCCAGTGTTGGCATGGGGCTGATGAGAAGAGCTTTGTATGCCTTGAGAAGAGCTTGTATGTCATGTACATTTCAAGAGGGGAACCTGGTGTTCTGGCCCCAAATATCTGAGACAAATCTTTTGATTTTTCTGAAATTCAGACAAGAAATCAATAGTAACAAATCAATAGACACATTGTAACTCAAAAGAAAATAAAAATTACTGGATTGATTCCTTGCAGTTGTTAACTTGTTAAGTGTGTTGGGTATCAAAATTACAAGCATCCAATAAATACAGTTGCAAATTGCCAGTGATTCAGAACTGTCTCTGGAAAAGATGTTTCCATAACCCGTTCAAACGACCCTGGCTGCTGCTTAGGTGTGGGGTTTTTTGGCAACTAAGCAGTTAAATAATTCTCTGGTAAAATCATAGCCCCAAATACCATTTACTGCAGCTGCACCAAGTTTTTAATTCTTTTCATCACAACAATGAAAAACTTCGCCTGTGTCGTATGAAACTTGCAATACCTGCTCTGATGAAGGGAGCTGGGTGGAAGCACCGGGGGATGGATGTGCTCTGTGCTCTGATCCTTCTTGGTAACGTAGCAGTGTGCTGGAGAGCTGCACGATAGAGTTACATTCTGGATGCTTGGCCTCTGCTTCACCCCCTCGGGACAAATCTTTGCTGGAAGTGAAGCTTGGATCTGGCCTGTGAAAGTTGATAGTGCATCAGGGTTCACCTACAATAGAGGTCTTACGTGGGGATGTGGCCATTCCTTTTCTGAAGCTGTCCTCTTATTTTATTAATGGGATATATTGTGCTCATATTCATTTCTATATCTCATAAACCTCTAACTATAATGACTTGGCTTATGAGGAGTTCATAATTCAGTGTCTAGTGTTCTTGCTTGTAACTCAAAGCCTCTGCTACTTCTGACTTGTGAGAAAATGATAGGCCAAACTAAGTGACTCATTCTTTGCAGTAAAATGAGAGTGTACTAATTATTTATCAGTGTCTTACCCTTAATTTGGCTGAAGAAAGAGCTGATTTCATAACACACAAAAGAGCTGTGTAGACACTAAAAACCATTATAGTCAGAAAGGTTCCACCCAGATGTAAGTGATAAGTCAGTTTTATATGACAGAAAAGCAGAAAATGCATGAATAGATTCCTAAAGCAGTGCATATATACATATATATATTTATATATCCATCTATATATATTTCCTCCTACTCACTGCCTTCTACAATGTTTATCCTAAATTCAGCTTTCAGAATCTCTTTTTTAAAAAAACAGCATTATTTGAACAAATTGTGTTGTCTGTTATGTTTGGTCTCTTCTGGGATTCCATGGGGGTATTTTTGTGTAGCAGAGGGGTTTTTTTTTGAGGTGGGCTGGCTTATTCTTTCCATGGATACCTAAAAGCACAGCTGGAATACAATGTGTGGTATTCACTCTTCAACTTCTGTTGCATCTGAACACCCCATATCAGGTCCTGGGGTAGGGAGTGAGGTGGAAGCAAATGAGGACGGCGACTTCCAGTGGCAGCACTGCCCAGAAACATCCTGAGCCAGGTGGGATCTGGCCCGTTCCTGCAGTCGTTTATATCTGGGTTAGGATGGAAATGGCTGCAGGGCACCTTTGCTCCCTTTGTATTGCAAAGTTTCCCTTCTGCTTTGCTGAGCCTCAGCATGATAATCTTCATCTGCAAATTAATTATAACACACCACTAAACCCAGACAGTAATTGAGAGGGAAGGATTTGAATGTTTTGACACAATGCGTCTCTACTGAAATTGCTACATCTAGAGTTTGACTTTCAGAAGAGCAAGGCACGCACAACTTCTGGAGTGAGGCACAGGAATCTGGCACTGAAGCCATAGATTTCTTTTACTTAAAAATTACTGCAGGATTTGTCTGACCATTACATGTTTATCTCATTACCCTGAACTCAGTGGAAAAAATTAGACACTTCTAGGGCATACTTTTTCATTCTAAAATAGACATCTAAATAGGTCACATCTAAATACATCACAACTTGTAAGTGCTGATATTTTGAAAGCTGATTTTATTTCTACCCTTTGGTTTAGCATTAGCAGCATTACCTCATTACTATGCTCATAGCTGGCAGTATCTTCTCTTCCAGAGCCAATGGTCCTGTGATATAACTTGTTCAAACCACTCGCCTATATCAAAATAATGTTTTCAGTGAGGCTAGAGCTACAGGTAACCTCACTGAAGATGATCCATTTCCCATTGTTCCCAGGAACCTTCATTAAAGGGAAATTATGTCACCACAAGGTGCTAGAGCAAAACAATTTTTCAGCAAAACCCAAAAGCTTATAATTGTATAGTTAATAATGCATTATTTAGGGATGCATTTTAGAGATACAGTGATTACACTTAAGTTTTTGGCAGAGTTTTGTAACTGTAATGCATAATTACAATGCAATGATTCTTTCTGCCACATGTAAGTACACTTAACCTATGTCCTTGGAAACTTGCCGATAGGCCTAAGAATAATTGTACTCTAAATGTTTGGTAATTAATGTGCCTAGTCCAAAAATTACATGTAAAAATTTGAAATCAAAGGAGTAATAACACTTAATTCTCTTAAAGTTAACCTTCCAGTTATTTGAATGAGTGCTAATTAGATCTAAAAACCATAAGCATACTTTTACAGTAATTATAATGATGATTATGTTGTAATTACAGTTGCAATAGCATAATGAGATTTACTTGTTAACCATTTCAGTCCTTCATGTAGTGCACATGAAGCAGTTGTTGTGGGAAAATTCCCATAGAACTTATCCAAAGGGCCATGGAGGTGTTGGCTGTGACTGCTCTGGAGCTGTGTCAAATGCCTAGAGGTCACAGAGAGAATTGGAGAACAGAAGCACAGCTAAGAGCACTTCAGGAAAGGCGGGCGTTTGATCATGTCAAAACTCTCCCCAAAAGGCCTCTCTGTGTCAGAAGAAGGTAAAACTGCTCATGTCTGGAAGTTCGAGCTGCCAACAACCTGTTAGCCAGACTTTTGGCAGTCCTGAAGCAGGATCGGGGGCAGAAGTGGAGGAAGAGCCTTCCCAAGGGCAGGAGGACACCAAGTCCCTCTAGGCAGGGATGGGGATGAGGAGGAGGTGCCATTGACCCTTTCACCTCTGCCTGGTGTCCCCTCCTGTGCCAGCACTCCCTCCCTTCATGCCTTTTGGCTGTGTCAGGACTTTCTATAGGTGTCACCTCATGCTCAGGGCTGCTGTGCGGTGCCCTCTGAGTCATGCAAGGAATGCAGGGTGAAGGAAAGGGATGACAGCAGCAGATCAACAGCAGGCTGTTCTCCCATGCTCCACCCAGCAAATCATGGTTCTCTTGTCCCCCCTCTACAAGCAGCACCCCAAGGGACATGCTGAGAAATAGTTATGGGACCCAAACATTCCCATTCCTCTGCTCCTGAGCCCCATCAGCAGTGGTCACATCATAGGTGCTTCTCTCACCTGAGTATTCAGTTTTGGCTTCTGTACCAGTCTGTACCACACACATGGTGGGGGGTGCTGAGGCAAAGCTCTGCTTTTCTTCCCATTTCTTGATTGAGCCAACAGCCAGTGCACAGGCTCTTTTTCTTTTACCTTTCTTAGCAATAGCAATATTTGGATTTTGAAAAGCTACAGGCAGGACAAACACCCTTCAAAAAAACAGAAAAAAACATCACTGTTGCTTAAAGCAACGAAACTAGCCCAGCTGCAGGACTTCCTTCTTCCCTGTCCCTGGTGCTCCCAGCTGTAGAATGAGGGAGGGAACAACAGAAACGTTGAAAACAGGGAAGAGCAGAATTATTTGCTCAGAGACTGATCCTGCCTAGGTACCAGGAGCTTGTCTCCTCCCCTGTGAGTTTAACCCCACCCTCTGTTTTTTTATGCTCCGGGCTATTTTGGGCAGGCAGCGAGGGCTGCAGCTCTGACAGATGAGGATACTGTACCAGAGCACAGCAGCACTTGTTGCTCTGAAGAACTACCGTAACAGGGACTGCTCCTCTGCTGCCTGCCTTTTCTTAATTATTAATTTAATAACCTGCAAACTTGTTTATTCTTATGCTTTCGAGCTTTATCATTACAAATGATATTTTAAGAGCTTAGTTAGCGTGGTTCAGAAGGGAAACTCACACGCTGTGAAGTTGAAACCTCCTTTTGCCACTTAATTTCAAGAGATCAGCTGGTAGCCTTGGGGGTAAAAAATGACAGACTCTGTTGCTGCTAATGGGGAAGGAAAGGACCCTGAAATTGAGCTCTTTGTGAAGGTAAGTTGCGCTGTGAACTGGACACTGGTGTGACTCTCAGATCGGCTCAGCTTCTACTGAATAATCAAACTTTAATTTTCTGGCGCTGAGCGGAAGCGGTGCTGTGACAGCCTGTTATCTCTTGTACACACGCTCACTCTGCTTTCTTCTTCGTGACATTAGAATTAGGTAATGTTGTGGAGGGAGAGTCAGAGTTCCTGTGTTTTATTGTTAATTCTCTTCTCATGAGTTTGTTCTGTTATTCTTAGCCTGCTGCCTGCAATGTACTGTGTCCTAACTTTAGACTTGAGCCTGTAGGCTTCAGGTTTTGCTCTATGAATCCTGACTTTCTTTTCCATTTTTGGGAAGAGCTGGGGGGCACCAGGATTCTGCTCAGCAGAAACTGTCAGGACCATAAACAATATGATGGACTGTAAAACAGTAAGGATTGAGATAAGCTGTCGGTCTTCTGATTATTTACCGCAATACTTCCTTTTTTTCTAAACCAATAAAAACTAAATCAGTTTTTATTGTCGGTTTCCTCAGTCTGAAGCTCATTCTGATTTTGTAGAAGGGTAACTGAGAACAGAAAGCAATTTAATGAAAGTATAGAAAAATGACTATACTTGTTATATGGTAAGGTTTCAAAATGTTTTGAGTTGTGTATGACTGTTGGTCTTGGACTGTGAAAACCTTACCATTAAAATCAGTGGCACAGTTGAAACCCATGACATATACAACCATATTAATAGCAAACTTTGTGCAAACTCTGCCTCAGTGGAGAGCTCGGATTTTTTGATGTTCAGAGTGTTTTAAAGCCTCTACACACGTTGAAGTATGCCTGTGTAAAATTATGGAATGGCTTGGTTTGGAAGGGATCTTAAAGATCATCCTGTTCCAATCCCCCTGCCATGGGCAGGGGCATCTTCCACTAGACCAGGTTGCTTAAAATCTTGCCCAGCCTGGCCTGGAACACTTGCAGGTGTTTGTTCTCTCTGAGCCTAGTCCATTCCTGCAAATCCATTGGATTATAATTAATACATGGGAGTTACCTCAGACCCTTAGCAAACAGAGCCCTGAATGATTAGGAAAGCAAATTCCAACCCCTCCCTTCTGTCAAGATGAGGGTATGTAATTGCTTTGTACTCCCTGATGGATATTTTGGGCTGTAAGTTGAAATGTCAGCCACATCCATGATATGTATACACGGCCTCTTCACACATCTTCCAAAACCAGTCAGTTCAGGTGCAGGTGCTGTGACTGAGCCAGCAGTGAGGTCTTTTTCCACAGCCAACAGATTTGACAAGAATTTCAGGTTCATAAGAGCCCTGTAGATCCTTTTCACAGAGAGCTTAATGTACTAAAATGGACCAGCATGAGTCCATACAGACAGACACCTCACCTATTACAAGTTTCTAACAAATTGCATTTAATGGAGATGTTTATGGGCTAAAAAATAGGTTTGTGATGTTGTCTCGCACTCTGTCATCAGTCAAATGTGTGCTGGAATGGAAATCTGTAGCTACTGATTTGTTTTAGTGCTCACACTATTTCACTGAGGCTGACATGGATGTTTGTGATATGTGGTTCTTTGACTGCATCAGCTGTTAAAGTGAAGGTCATTGCCCAGATTCATTGTGTGAAGCTCTGGATCCATAAGATACTGGGGAAAATGAGCACTGCGTTAAACTAAGCCATGACACCACTTGAAGATTTATAACTCCAGAAAGAACATTTTTAGTAATGTGACTTCCTGCATAATGCATATTACAGAATTGCATAGAGACTCACATAAAACTCAGAGCTGGAATAGAAGAATTAATTGGTATCTTCCTGGAGACTTTCCATTTAGGTTGAAAAATTGCAACTCTTGAAGTTCTGGAAAGGTGCCATTAATTTAATTAAAAGTTTAAAAGGTTTTATAGTAAAGCATGTGACCAGAGTATTAGATTATACACCTCAGAAATTCAAAAATAAAAAGAGAAAAACATCCAAAGGAGAGACAAGCTGAAAGCTGAAAAATATGAGAATGTAAGAGAATCATGAACAGGTGAAAACTTTTCTGGAAAGTGACTGCAAAGAATAGGATATTAGTAAGGGGAGGTAAACAGAAAGGCTGATCCAGGAGATCTCTCTACAAAGGAGAAGATACTTATTCTGTCTGTTTTAAGGCTGGAAAGAATAGAAAAGTGGTAACTTCTGGAGGACTGTGAGATACTGGGACAAGTGGCAAATGTAAATATACTGGACCACACTTGAGGCAAGTTCAAACAGCAGCAGAGGATGTTGGGATCAATGCAACAATATCTCATTTGATTTTTATAGAGGTGATACTTCACCCAAGGAAAAGAGTTCTGTCCTGCATCCTTGAAGGAGCACACAGCAAATACAGTGATAAGTGAGAAAATGTAGGGCAGTAGATGTGGCCTGGTAGAAACTGTATCTCCCACAAGCCCAAAAAACCAGAAAGGGCTGTTTTTCGCCAGCCACGGTGTCCCTAATAAAAGCATTTTGTGTCTCAGGTTAAAAAAAGAAAGGTGTTACACAATTGCTCTATTTCCCTTTGCTGTTTGTCAACCAGGAGCACAGGAGCCTCAAGCAGACAAGCAGGGAGCGGGGCTGTAACCAAAAGAGCTGCTCTGTAACCTAATGCAGGTTGGCTCAGGATCTGCTAAGCTGCACAGACAGGCTGGGCACCACCAGGACACAGCTGAGCTGCTGTGGCAGGGACAGGTTAAGTGGTTATCACACCTACTTGTTATCATCCCCATTGATTTCGCTTGTTTTCTAACGGTGCCCTAAGCTGGATCTGTGAGCTGATTTTTCGTGAACAAGGGTTTGTTCTTGCAAGGTGTGTGTTTGAGAGCAACCCCCCGAAATCTGGGGCAGGACACCAGGAGAGTGATGGTGGGAGCGGGGAGCTCTGCCAGGGAGGTGGTGCTGCCTTGATCAGATGTGCAGCTTGTGTGAGCAGGCCTTTGCTGAACGCTGAAACTCTGCAGCAATTCTCTCTCTAAACTTGTTTGGCAGGGAATTGGAGGAGGCTGCCAGAGAGAAAGGTTTGATGCGTGTTGTTGTGAGACAGTGGCGGTGGCAGCGTGGGGAAGGGAGCATCGGGAGGTTGTGCTGGCTCTGTGCTTAATCCAGCTTGCTGTAACTCAGGCTAATTTCAATCCTCTGTGTGCTGGAGAAGGAAAGTGCTTCTGTATAACTGACAATGATACACTGATGGAAGATATATTTAGCTTTACCTGGCAGTCTTGCACCTGTGTGCATGAAAATAATGACAAAACTGAACTAGTGGTCCTTTTGCATGAAGTAATACAATTAAACTCCATAAAAGGGAGGACCACAGGACTTTTGGGGCTTATTTCTGTTTGCAATGGAAACACGTGTTGAGATTTACAATCCTTGCCTTTCAGTATTAGAGTAGTACCTAATACTGAAAGTTAATTATAAGGGAGATACATTGTACCCACGGAAAACAAAAACATGATGCAAAGAAGACTGCATTGCTCAGAATGCAGTCTAGAAAGCAAACAAACCCCACAAATGGACCAAAGTACATTTCATTTTTAAAATCTTCCTGCTTTAGAAACACTCTATAACAAGATATATCTCAATCTATATTTCTGATAGTGGAAAGATGGTGATATCATAGTGGTGGGAGAATGTGTGATAAGCTGGCAGGCGCCTACTTCTAGAAGGAATCATTGTGGCACTGATGGATTAATACTAGGGGTACTTGCATTGATGTCCTGGGCTGCACCAAAATCAGAGGGACCAGTTGATCAATGGAGGTGATTCTGCCCCTCTAATCCACTCTTCTGAGACCCCACCTGCACTGCTGCATCCAGCTCTGGGCTCCTCAGCAGAAGGAAATGTGAACCCACAGGAATGAGTCCAGGCGAGGCCACTGAGTTGATCACAGGGCTGGAACACCTCTGCTATGAAAGCAGCTTGGAGAAGAGAAAGCTCCAGGAAAACCTTAGAGAACTTTCCAGTTCCTGAAGGGGTCTAGAGAGGGACCTTCCACAAGAGCATATAGGATCAAAGAGGATGGCTTTAAGCTAAAAGAGGACAGGTTTATATTAGATGTTAGGAAGAAATTCTGTATGTAAGAGTGGTGAGGTCCCGGGACAGATTGTCTGAAGTTGTGAATCCCTGACAGTTTCCAAGACCAGGCTGGATGGAGCTCTGAGGATGGTGTTGTGGAAGGTGTCCCTGCCCTTGGCAGGGGAGTTGGAATGACACGATCCTTAAGGCCCCTTGCAACCCAAGCCATTCTAGGATTAGGTGAGCAAGAACTTTTGCTTAAAAGGTGCAAAGTGTTACTTCTCAAAGTGTTCACCCACAGTCACACTGAACACCCTTCTTGGGAAAATGTGAAGGTGCTGCAATTTTACAAATCAAAAGAGACCTCAGAGGCCTTGAAATTCCACTTCAGTGGAAGTACTTCAGACATTTAACATGTCCCCATCTGCCAGCTGACTGGGCCCATTAGGATTATGTCTAAAAATGATGGCAAGAAAAACTTACTGTTCTGAACGAATGAGTGAGTCAGAGAGCCTGGCTGCCAGGACAGAGCAGTCATCAGCAACAGTGTGCTCCATCAAAGTTCCAGGAGCTGCTGCTCTCAGGAAGGTATTGCTGCCCCTCTTGTGGACACAATTATCCCAGAAATTATCTCAGGGAGGAGCAAGTTGGAGGTTTTTTTGTTTTGTGGGTTGGTGTGTTTTGTTTTGGTGGGGTTATTTAGTGTTTTTTGTTTGTTTGCTTGTTTTTTTATTTATTTATTTTTATTTTTAATTTTTATTTTTATTTATTTATTTTTTTTTTGGTGCATTTTCTGGATTTTTTAAAAAAGTTATTTCTGCTGAAAGGTGATTTCAAACCAACCTTAGTTTGGATTTTGGTGAAGTGTTGTCACACAGTCTTAAAGGAAGATAAAAGTGTTACACCTGTTACAAACAATCATTCCCCACTGTTAAGGCTTTTGTGGTTTTAATATAAGAGAGTCA